ATACAGCAAAGAACTAGATAAACAAATCCCTGCTCACATGGAGCTGACATTCTAGTGTGGGGGATGCTACCAGAATGTAATAATTTAACAAGGAAATGTAATCTATTAGCAAATGTAATAATTTAACAAGGCAAATAATAGTTGGTGATAAGTGCTCTGCTGAGAATTACCATAATATGATACTGTAATAGAGCAACTAGATGGCTACTTGAGACTGGCTGACCAGGAAATGCTTCTCTTTTGGTGATGTCTGAACTGTGGTCTTAATGTTCTAAGAAAAGGCTAGCCATTTGAAATACAGGAGAGCCCAGAAAGAAAAAGGAACACCTATTGCAAAGGGCTAAGACAGAATGAACTTGGCCTACTGAGGCACAAAATAAAGGCTAGTGTGAGTGGAAAAGCATAAATTACAGGGGAGTAAGTAGTAGAATATGTGGCAGATATCAGTCCTGATAAGTAACCTGGGTTGTATTATACGTGTCAGACGGAAGCCACTGGAGGGTTTAGGCAGAAATGAGATCTGATCACTCAGGCTGCTAATCGAAGAACAGTCCAAATAGGGATAAGACAGAAACTGGGAGCTCTGTTAGGAGTTTACTGCAGTGGTTAAGGCAACTGAGGATGATAACATGTACTTTGATGGAGTTAACAGAGGAGAAAAATGGAAAAAAAGTATTCAGGATGACTTAGAGCTGAAGACAAGACTTAATAGATCAAACAGAAGGGCCTTTGTTTGGGTAAGTGTTGGCTTTCATTTGCATTGACATTCCTAGTCAATAAGCGGACTTCAAGAAGACAGGTGTGTGAGTCTTGAGCTCTAGGATCAAGTTTGACTTCCTGGCGAAGACTGTTCTCAAAGCCCAATGATACCTGCTTATTTGTATCTCTGAGTAATCAGTGTTCTCTAGAAGAGTAAACTTTAGGAGAGTTAAGAGTTAATAGACACAATTTGACAACAATGATGTATATAAACAAAAGGGTATATAAACTATGAGCCTCTTTTAATTGATAAAGGATTGTTATTTTAGAGATGAGATTCTTACCATTGATAATCAGAACAATTATCTTTGAGAAATTTACGTGCACAGACTGGTTTCAGATTGCCTGCCTATGAATCACAGCCTCCCCACTTACCTACTAAATAACATTGGGCAAATCACTTAACCACTTGGTACTGCCTCAATTTCCTCATCTGTAAAATGGGGATAATAGTAACTACGTCACAGTGTACTTGTGAAAATTAAATGAGCTAGTACACATAAAGCAATCAAAATAGTATCTGGCACATAACCACCACTCAACAAATGCAAGTTAGTATTATTATCTACTGTCTCTCTATACTGTACATAGAAGTGTGTTCACACTTCATTTTTCTAGTTAGATGCTTGGTAAGAGATGAAATCAAAGATTCAGAATAAGCTAGGGAAGCATATGAAAAACCCTCCTCAAAAAAAAAAGGCTGAGAATTTGGCATATTGCTAAAACATCCTCTTTAAAAGTAAGCTGTAGGGGTGCCTGGGTGGCTCAGTCGGTTGAGTGTCTGACTCTTGATTTCGGATCAGGTCATGATCTCAGAGTCATGAGAGCAAGACTTGCCAGGATCCGCGTTCATGGGGACTCTGCTTGAAATTCTCTCTCTCTCCCTTGCTCACTCTCTCTCTAAATAAATAAATATTTTTTTTAAAAAAAGTAAGCTATACATGTGCCAGTCATTCCTAAATCTCTTATCTCTAGCCTTGACCCAACCCTGAAGCTCCAGATTCATATGCCCTGCTACCTGCTGGACACTTGACTTGGTAACTTAATAGGCATATTATTGGAATAAAAAGGGAAAACAATCAATATTCTCTTCAGTAAGTGAATGATCATGTGACCAACTCAAACTGCAAAAACTCATGGCTCTGCTCTATAAGTAACAAAATCCCTGCTGGGAATGACATTCTCAGTTTTCAAGCAACATACTGAGAAAGTGCCCAGTTTGGTCAACTACATGAAACCTCAGGCATTGTATCTATTCACTTTAGCATTAAGGTTTTGCAATTACGATTCTAATGCATGTATTGTTTACTATAAGTCACTTCAAATAATTTCTTAAGGTAAGCAGGGAATAAGGAAATAAGTAAAATGAAATGTCAGATGGCATTAAATGACTCCTAGGCTCTGTTACCTGAGCACACTGGCTGCACACTCTTCAGCAGACACAACTCTCAGTTGTCTTATCCTGGACCATGACTCCAATCACCAACAGTGACGCCAATAGGTTGACATCCCAGGTAGACTAGAACAGTCCCAGAAAAACTCTAACAGTATGGCCTTTCATTCTTAAAAGTATTTAATTGGGTGAGAAATTATATGTCTATCTACATACATGATCACCAAGAACTCCGTAGCATCTAGCATGCATGCATGCATTTATTCAGCTAATATCTCCCAAACACCAGGTGCCAGGTCCCATGTTGGGCTCCAGTACAATGCAGGATTCTAGTACAAGAGTGTAAGTCCTGAATAGCCATAAGACGTATGCAAAAAAGGGTCATATGTAGATCAAGAGCTTTAGTAAGAGTCTCTGAGTTACTTACCACATCTAAGACATGAGACAAGCAAAAACTACATTTCCTTAGACAATAAGTAGATAACTGGATATGTTAGACAGATGTTTTACATAGTGTGTACCAGTGTTTGGGAATCTGTATGTTTGTATAATTTGCTTTTAGAAAACACGCATAAGAATTCATGACCATGAATGTTGAGCCTTTGTTGTAGATGTAGATTGTTGAATAAATGGCTAAATGCTTTTTGCTACCATAAGTATGAATGGAAAGCAGATGGTAAGGAAAGATGTTTACTTTTATAAGCAAGTAGCATAGTACACAACAGAAATAAAGGCATCATTACAACTATTTCCTTTCTCTGACTTAAGGCACTATTTTTCCTATGACCCTCAAAACAAAATACAGTTCACACATTTTAGGCTGATCTTTCCCCCATTAACATAGGTAGAATCAGGAAATCTGAATTGGTTCAGTCGCGATTTCTTCTGAATTGGAAATACCATACAGATTATTTAGGCAAATCACCGACAAATAATCAAGCATATCTCAAGGAAGCTTATATGCTCACTATACTTAAAAGCAGTTAACAAAGCAAATGCCCCTGATACATTTAAAGTCAGCAATTTTCAAATGTTAATCCTAGACCTCGAAGGAATCTAAGAAGGAGGGTGACTCTAATATACTATCTTGGATGGGAATCCTGGTAACTTACATGAAGGAGGCTATAGATCCAATGTTTAGAACTGTTGGTTAGTTAAAACCCTTAAAAAGATGATCTCTAAGGACCCCTCATTTTACAGATCATGATACTGAGGCCCAGTAAAGCCACACTGTAATACTGGATGAAGTATGACTTTGAAACTCAGGCACACTTGTGTAACCTCTTCCCAGATCTCTTCCTTGCTGTGTGTTTCTAAGAACATTACTGAACTTTTCTGTTTCTCATCTATAAAAATGAAAGTAATACTTATCTTTTAAACATGTTATGAAGATTAAATGAATTTGTGTTTATGAAAATATCTGACACATAATAGACACTCAATACACATTAATTTCTTTCCTTCTAAAGGGCGACTAACTTGAGAGACATATGGCTGGTAACAGGCAAAAGGCAGGGCTAGAATCAAGAAATAGGATCCCCTTTACCATTCCAAAGGAATTCAATTATTTCTTAAATGACTTCTATACTTAAATCACACCATAAAAAAATAAATAAATAAAATAAAATAATAGCTTTAAACACCTGAGTTGAGGGGGGCGGGAAAGGGTTATTAAAGTAAATGTGGAACGCTACAGCCTGCAAGAGATATTTCCTTGAAACAAAGTAGCAACAGAGTCAGGAAGTTTAATGGCGGAAGTATTACACTGGCTACCTTTTTAAAAATGACATCTACTCAGTTTGTACTGGAAGGCTACTCCTTCAGGAAACAATGCTGTAGCTTTTTGCAGCTTTAATGGATACTTCACAACACATATTTCAAAATTAATGTTTGCAGCAAGTATGTATCAAGTGTCAATCATGTGCAGTGCCTGGTGGACTATATGATATGGATCAGACTTTGGTTTTGTCCTAAAATAATCTTAGAATCTGGTAGACTTTGAAGAACGATTACAACATATAGCTGTATATTAAGCTTCATGGAACTTGAAAGGTTCAAAGTCAGCCTGTGGTGAGGAGTTACTTAAGGCTATCTACTTATGGATAAAATAGCCACTGTATTGGCAGTGGGTACACGTAGCATATTAAGTTGTTTGAATTGTGTTAACTAAATTCTAGTCTTATTTCTGACACCAACTAGCTATGTGAACCTGTCAAGTTACTTGATATCTTTAGATCTTATAAAATGGTTAAATTCAAAAGGATGATCCCTATCTAAACCTCCTTCAGGCTTTAATAGTCCAAATAACACGATGATGATGATATCAAGAAAAACCATAGCTTATATTTACCTCGCACATCTTATGTGCCAAGCACTGTGCTAAAGTGCATCATTTGTACTATGTTTATTTAATCTTCGTCACAATCTTATGAAATTGGCATTATTATCCTTAATTTACAGATGGGGAAAAGGAGCCGAAACAGTATTAGAGGGGCCAGAGTCTCGATTTGAACAGAAGCATTCTGAATCTAATCCAGGAGTTACCCTTAACCACTAAGCCCAAACTCCCTGAGTTCACGAAAAGTCTCTTATCTATTAAGAAATATGTAAAAGGAAATGTGTAAAAGGAAAAGCTTGGGAAAAGGGTCCTTCCTGACAGGCGCAGAGCTGAGTTAAAGTCACACTGCTTCCCCTAGTAATAAGGCTCTCGCACCACTTCATCCGCGATGCTCGCGCGCTCCCACAGCTGGGCACACCACCGCGGGGCCAGACGCCGTGACCGCCAGAGGCTGGCGCGGGCTGAGGCTCATCGAAGGAGTGATGGGGGGGGGGCAGGCAGAGTGCGTACCTGGGCTGCCGTCTGCTCCTGCAGGTTGGTTCTCCCACCACTCGTCTCCAAGATCGTCAGCCATCTCCAGGCGGGACTAGCTGTGAGCGGACCACCAAAGGAAAGCGGACAGGGGCAGGTATTCTCGCTTCCCCCAAGCCGGGAGGCCAGCGTTGGCAGCCCGCACGCGGTGCCTTTCCTCAGACACCGTCGCCTCCGCCCCGCGGCGATGACGTCACACCTCCGCCCCGCCTCCCCAGCCACTGCGCCCATCACGTCGCAGTTTCCATACAAGTGCTGATGAGAAGCTCTGTCCAGTAACTCAAAATAAATCCTCACAAAAGCAAAAAGGCAAGTAAAAGCAACTCCCTCCAAAGGATTATTATCTTTTTAAATAACTTCTTTCAAAGCTTTTTGTTTATTTATTTATTTATTTATTTTTTGGCCAAAAAGCTGTTGACGAAAGTGTGAAACAGGACGCTAAGACAATTTTTCTCTGTTCGGTTTCAAAGGACGTGTGCCGCGGGAGAAGACCAGAGCACGTGGGTGTGTTTTCGTTTGTGTGTCTGTGTTGGGGCGCCTGTGTGTCTAGTTTGCTTTGGGGAAACGTGCGCAAGAATTCATGACCATGAATGTTGAACTTTGCTGTAGATTGTGTACTGCTCTTTTTATATGGTATGGGTTGAGAAAAATGTTGATGGTCCGGGAGTGCTCGCCCACGAAAGGACTCTAGTGGTCCGGGGAGTTGAGAGTAGTCGGTCTCCTTTACATCCTTCTCCACTGTGTTTTCTACCGCATTTTGTGAAACGAGAAGCGAGTCAGTTGTTGCTTAACTACAGGTAAAAGACCTACAGTACTTCTTGTCTTACCTCCAACGTGAAGTGGCAGAGGTAGGATTGATAGGTTATTGGGAAGAAAAATTAAATAAGAAATACTAGTATGGAAGAGGAAGTGTCATGACCAATAAACATATGAAATGTTCTGTCTCCTACTAGCTTTCATGCAGTAAATTGACAAAATTAAGGAAGTCTGACATTACCAAATTCGAGAGAGTACATGCATCAATGGGAATTCCTTCACCTTACTGGTGTGAATGTAAATTGGTAATAACCACTGGGAAAAGCAATTTGGCACACTTTGCAACAAACCTACACACCTTATGATCCAGCAATTTCCACTCCTAACTATACACACTTGAGAAACTCTTGGATACTATAGAATATTCACAGCAGCATTGTCAGTAATAGCAAAAAGTGGAAAAACCGAAATGTGTTTCTATAGGAAAATGGATAGCTACATTATAGTATAGCCATACAGTTAAGCATGGGAAATGAATCAACACATGTAATTACGTGGATATATTTTGGAAACATAATGCTGAGTTTAAAAATGCCAGATGCCATTTTAAAAAGTTCAAATACAGGGAAAACCAAAAGTTGTTTAGATCAAAAAGTACATATGTGATTTTAAAGAAAGAGAGTGGTAAGCACAAAATTTAGGATATGGAGTAACCAGGAAATGGGATTAAGAAGCACAAAGGTAAATGTAAGTTATTGGCAAATGTCCAATTTAGGTAGAGTGGAGAGTTCGTAGATGTGCATTAAATTCTTATGCTTTATAATTTATAGATATATTACAAATATTTTGTGGTATTTAATAATATTTATTTACATAATTTAAAAGATAAGGGAAAAATCCACTTATAGGAAAAAGACATTTTCAGTAGAGTTAAATTGGGTGCTATTTAAGAACTCACTAAGAATTCCAATGACTGACCCAACATCTCAAATGACACTCAAAGCTTCCAGACAGTTCTGCTGCCTTTCCCATGTGAGTTCACTTTCCCACTGTCCCTGATCTTATCCCAGGATCAGTCTTCCTCTTATGCCCTGGATCCCAACCCCTTTTACCTTCTAACCTCTTCCACTTCAGTAAGTGGCAGCACCTCCTGGTTGCATTGTCATCTGATTCACTGGTAAGTTTGGAGGGATCTATCTTCAAAATATATCCCAAATCTAACCATTTAACCAGTCTTCTCATCACTTGCACCACTACAACCTTGGTGTAAGGTAATCATCTCTCTTCTGAGCCACTGTAATAGTCTTCTAACCTGCTTTTCTCTTGCGTTTCCTCTTGTCCCACCTCAGTCTTGCTTCCACACAGAAAGTAGTCAGAATCATTATGTCACTCTCTTAAATGCTTTAGTCATCTCTTATCACACACCCACTCCCTAAGCACCTCCTTGGGGATTAGAATTGCATCTTTCCTATTTCACCACTGTAGCCCTGTGGCCCTAGGACCACGAACAGTACCTGGCACACGTAGACACTGACAATGTATAGATTGCCTAACTGAATTTGAAATTCCTTTACTCTGATTGTTTTACTTACTAAGCAACCTGATAAGTTTGTTTCCCAAGTCAGCTTCCTTTCTGGCGACAGATATAAAAAGTCAGCAACTAAGGCCCCCAGCCAAATGCAACCTATCACCTATTTTGTCCCAGTAAGTGAGGATAGTTTTTACACTTCCAATGCATTGCTGAACAACAACAACAAAATAAAACACACCAACAACCAGAGAGGAAGGAAGGAAGGAAGGAAGGAAGGAAGGAAGGAAGGAAGGAAGGAAAAAGAAACATGCAACAGAGACTGTGTCCCTAATGTATTTATACCTGGTCCTTTACAGAAAAAAGCTTATTGACCCTAGATTATATTGACTAGCCAACCTAAGTTGTACATCCATTTAACTGTTCTATTAATCAGTGAATTGGCATCCTACTTTAGAAACTAGTCTGTTGTAAAATTCTGTACCCCAGTATTTGATCACTTCACCTAACATGGAGAAGCTCAGGTTGAAAAAGATCTTTATCTTCTTCCTCTTTCTGTATGATATCTAAATGAGTATTACGAGTTTACAAGAGGACGAATTCACTTCCCAGCAGGGTGCACTGAGAAGCCTTCATGAAGGAGGTGGTACTTGAACGACCTTGTCAATGGATATTGATTGGCATGTTTTTTTGGACATGTCATTTAACCTTGCTGGGTTTCACTTTGCTCATAAAGGGAAGAAATTAGATGATTCTTGGGTTCTCTTCCAACTCCATGCCTTAATCTTGACTATCCAACCAAGAATTCCAGATATTAGGTTCATTAGATGCAAAGGATGTGATGGAACTACTGTTTTAGGAAAGCTAAATTGGTGTCAGCATGCAGGGTAGATAATAAATTTGAGCAGAACTTTCCACCTGGCATGGGTATGTTAAGATACTGATTCCCTCAGTCTTAGAGACAGGCAGAGCCCCTGGGCCAGTTGCTTCAGGTTGAAGGTAGCCTCATCTCTTCAATCCAGTGTTGAACAAATATTGCTATTTTCTATGGGTGCCATGATGTAAAAAGGCTGGGGAAGACTGGATTAGAAGGGGTTAAAAAAAAGTTTAAAGGCTGCTTTGTGAAGGCTCACCATACAATGAAAAGAGTTTAATGAAGGCACGGGTTCTTTGTCCTTAAACCCAGTCTATATATGTACCTTAGGGAGTCCATGAACCCCTGATGATATACTTAAACTTTTGCATCATGTGGGCAATAATAATAACAGTAACAACAACAGCATGATTCAGGTACCTTTCTAAGCACTTTATGTCTTAATTCATCTAGTTGTCATAGCTCCATGAGCTACTACACTGGATCAGATATTTTCCATTTACCATTCTCTACCCTTCTGTCACCTAGGAGGCTGATGTAAATCTCCCCTAAGCTCTGATTTCAGATTTGGGTTCAGCAAATTGGAGGCATCAGTAAGAAATCAAAGGATGAGAGAAAAATAACTCCTTATGTTGTTCTCTTTTCGGGGCTGGGACTAGGGTGCCACAAGCAGGGGCCTAGGATACAGAATTTGAAGAGGCACTCTCTCAGGCTGGCTCTTGGATGAACCTGAGAACGAGTGCCTCCTAAATGTTCTGCTGGATGTACCTGCTTGCTTTACACTAGTCCTTGCCCTCATCCCACCACTGGAGGCCAAGGCTCCCTCAGACTTAAGGGTAGTAACGGCTCTCCAACGTTACCAGGCCTTGGGTTTTATACCATCTTTTGTTTTCCTAACCCTACCTCATCTGCATAAATACTCCCTTTACCAATTTTTTTTTTCAATTGTACAACTTAAAGGATTCGGTTTTTTTCCTGCTTGGACCCTAACTGATAGATTTACTGCCTTAGTTTAGGTTCCCCTAAAAGTAGAGCATGGATGCAAGTAGTTTATTTGGGATGGGATCTGGTGTGGGGGAGGGGGGCAGAAATAAAACAGGGAGAGGGAGATAAGGAAGGAAGGATGACTATTAAATTGGTTATATAACTGGCTCTTTATCCTGTTAGGGACCCTCTGAGAAACAATGTAGACTGTGCCTTGGAGTTATCCTCAGGAAGAGGATATCCACTGACTGCCATCCACCGTTGGTTAAGGGTTGTCCCCAGGGATTTGAATTTCCAGATACTCCCAGGGTATGCTGCCACTGGAGAAAGCCCAGAGGCAGAAGAGCAGAGTTACATAACTCAGCATGCTTGAGGTGGAATGCTGGCAGCTGCCCAGAACTTTCCTCCATTGCTGGACTGGTTTCAAAGTAGGCTGAGGGGCAAGAAAAGCATCTGCTTCACATTTGTACTGTTAGTCTCTCTACTCTATAGATGGTGAAACTAAAGCATGGGGAATTAAGTAACTTGCTCGAGTCACCCATCCAGTAGGTGGTTTCCCATCTGCCCATGGATTTCATAACTCTCAAAGTGATACGTGACCCAAAAATGACCTACATCCACTGGACTAGGAAAAAAACAGTATAGAAAAAAGGAAGAAATGAAGTGAGGAACATCACCATCAATTTGTGAAAATGGTTTGGAAATAAAATGGTGAGGAAAAGAGGACAAAAAAATAGTTTCAAGTCCTAAAAAGTGAAAATCTGATATCGTCTTTGTGGAAACTAGCAAAACAAAAATGAGGGAACAGTTTGGGGGTGAAATGATGAGTTAATGATTCATCATTAACTTAATCTCCAGCTCCTTTCCCCTTCCTGCAAGATGGGGAGTGAGGCTGAAGGTTCCAAACTTCGAATTATGACTTGATCTTTCTGGTGACCAGCCCCCTCCAGGAGCCCACCAAGTGGCACTTTATTAAAGAAAAGACACTCCTATCATGCAGGAAATTCCAAGGAATTTAGGAGTTCTGTG